CCCCAAAACCCCAAAACCCCAAAACCCCTTAGCAACTTTCTCATATTGGAAAAGGACAGGAATATAAATTTTGACCGAAATGAAGGATTTTTAGCAATCTTTTCCTGTATTTCCGTCTTTCTCTGTAGTCTTGAGGGCTGGATTAGTACTTTAGCCCCTTTCTTCATAAGAATGCTATTTTTGTGGATAGAATGATTTTTCTGTTCCTTCATTAAAATTGTCAGAAGGTTATCAGCACTAAATCCAGGTCACCTGATTAGGTATAACTTATTTAGTGTATGATTTGATACCAAAAGTTGGCTGAGCAGGGCATCTGAGATTTGGAGTATCTCAAAGAGGAGTTCTTGCAATGCTGGAAAACTAGATTTAGGGAATAACTGTTTAGCGTTCTCTAAGTATATCCTATCTCACCTCCAGAGATATAACTTCGTGAGATGTGGGTAAGTATGATTACAAAAATGAAGTATTCATTTGTTTCTCAAGTTTATTCAATCAAACTCCAGAATTCGAACAATTTCATTTGCTCCAGTAAGATTCCAGAAGGAGGTTTTATCAAGCGCAAAGTTTCTTAGCCGAAGCTCTTGTAGACTCTCTAAGTACTCTTTCTGATCTTTTAGATACACTTCATCTATTCTGGCTAGACTTTCATATATTCAATTACTGCGTTCTTCCTCCTTTGTTTCAAATATAATTGACTTTGGATTTCTCATGGCTAAGATTGCTGAGTTTAGCTTCTGGATATCTTCATATCGCCAAAAAGAGAAATTTATGGTGAATTCTTGAGTATCTTTTAACTTATTCAATAAGCTCTTGTAAAAGCCATACTCGAAGCTAAGATCCCGTGTCTTTATCACCAATTTTCTTCAATCTATCAGTACCAGGGCTGAATCCGGTACCAGATTAGATCGCATTTGATTTATCTGTAACTTCAGCACCTTTGTCTTCATAACATACTTTTGTTTGGCACTTAAGAATCCCCTGTACATTCTTCTGACCTCCTCAAATGTAGGGATTGCTCTTTCCTTCATCTCGATTCCTGGGTCTTCAAATCCCAAGGCTACCTCCCTTTCACCCTGCCCCTCAACCACCACCTCTACTACCCCCATCACTTCCGCTTTCCTCCTCCAAAAATTCCTGCCCAGTGCGAACAAAATCTCATAATTTGTACTGAAATCCTCTGATTTCAGGTCAAGGAGGTCCCATAGAGGGCGAGTGAGCTTTAAGCTGAGATTGTGTAGTGGAACGGAGGGTTGTACTCTGGATAGCAGTTTTAGGTGGGATTTGGGGGATTTAGAAGAGGGGATTGGTTTGAATGGGATTTTGAGGGTTTTGAATCAGGCAAATGGTAGTTTTAGGATCCTTTCTTGAAGTTTCTTTGATATCCAACAGTATTTTCATAGGTCATAAGCTGAAAAATATTTGAAAATTTCGTAGATTAATGCATTGGAGTTAAACAAAAACTTGTACTTTTGATTTTTTTCCTTATTTGTATTCTCTTCTTTATCAGTCTCCTTGAGGAAATTTTCCGGCTTCTCTACACTCTTGATTTGCTTTGTAGTGAGGGATTTAGTGCAAGTCTTTTCAGTTTCCAAGCTATTATTCGGGGTTTTGGGGTTTTGGGGTTTTGGGGG